CCTCTGTCTAAATGCCCTAATAATGAGAAAGTTCTTAGGAGTTAAAAGGATCTTTTTCCTACGTAGGAATGTAAATCCAATTTAACATTGTTAAATCCCTTATAATTTCTCTTTCCTGTTTACCTTTTTATGCTTCTTTTGAGTCTTGTATTTGAAAGTCAGTTTTTTTATTCAGCTCTGTTCTTTTCATCAGGAATGCTTGAAAGTCCTCTATTTCATTAAATTTCCAATTTTCCCAGAATGATTATACTCAGTTTTGCTGGGCAGGTGATTCTTGGTTGTAATCCTAGCTCCTTCACCCTCCAGAATATCATATTCCAAGCCCTTCAGTCCTTTAATGTAAAAGCTGCTAAATCTTGTATGGCTCCATGATCTTTGGATTGTTTCTTTCAGGCTGCTTACAATATTTTCTTCTTGACCTAAGAGCTCTGGAATTTGGTTATAATATTCCTGGGAATTTTCATTTGGGGAGATCTTTCAGGAAGTGATCAGTGAATTCTTTCAGTTTCTGTTTTACCTCCTGGTTTTAGGATATCAGGGCAGATTTCTTTGATAATTTCTTGAAACATGATGTCTAGGCTCTTTTTTGAATCATGACTTTCAGAGAGCTCAATAAATCTTAAATTATCTCTCCTGGATCTATTTTCCAGGTCAGTTGTTTTTCCAATAAGCTATTTTGCACTTTCTTCTATTTTTCCATTCTTTTGCTTTGTTTGTGTGTTTCTTGATGTTATTAGCTTCCACTTGCCAATTCTATTTTTTAAGAAGTTATTTTCCTCAGTGAATTTTTGTACCTCTTTTTTCATTTGGCCCATTCTGATTTTTAGATGTTATTTTCTTCAGTATTTTTTGAGCTTCCTTTACCAAGATGTAGGCTCTTTTTTCACAAAATTTTTTTTGTATCACTCTCATTTCTTTTCCCAATTTTTCCTCTACTTCTCTTATTTATTTTCAAAATCCTTTTTGAACTCTTCCAGGAGTTCTTCTTGGTGCTGAGGCCAATTCACATCTTTCTTTGAGTCTTTGAATGTAGCTGTTTTGACTTCGTAGTCTTCTGAATTTGTGTTTTGATCTTTCTTGTCGCCATAGTAACTTTCTATGATCAGGATCTTTTTGTTGTTTTTTGTTCATTTTCCAACTTGTTTCTTGACTTTTAATGTTATGTTAAAGTTGGACTCCACTCCTAGGGTAGAGAAGGCACTGCTCTAAGCTTCAGGATTTTTGTGCTTTTGTTTATATTCTGTGGGTCTGTAAGTTTTCAGTTCTTCTCTCTATGGAGAGGTGTGGTCACTGTTCTGCTGGCTTGTGCTCTGGTCTGTGAGTAACCACAAGCACTCTTTTCTGCCCTGGACTATGACCAGAATTCCCCCTGCCCCCATATGTTCTAGTGTGCTAGTGTCCCTCCTAGCCCTGGAACTGTGACCCAGAAGTGTGTATGGGCAATGCAACAAAGTCCTGCCCCCAGGGCCAGCAAAGCATCCCCTGTAATTTCCTTCTAACCATTTGCCTAATCCCCTTACCATCTATGAGCTGAGAGCTCCAGAAGCCACTGCTACCAATTAAGTCACCCCCAAGACCTACTGCTGGCTTGTGCCCACTACTGGCTCCTTGGTACAGTGGTCTGGTGCCTTGCTGCTGGCTTGCACAGGGGCTCTGGCTTTACTACAGGCTTGCTGGGCATAGCCTGCCCTGGACTACGCTCCACTCTCACTCCAGTGAGACAGACTTTTCCTGCCAACCTACTAAGTTGTCTTGGGACTGGAAAGTTGTTTTACCTCATCCTTTTGTGGTTCTGCCATTTAAGAATTCATTTTCTTGTATTATTCCAAAGTTGTTTGAAGGGAATTTGGGAAAGCCTGCCTTTGCTCATGATCTTGGCTCTGCCCCCATCTAATCCATTTGACTGCCTTTGTCTGGTGCTGATTCCTAATCTGTGTTGCTAGACAGCCATCTGATTTAACATTAGAAATTTCCCTATAACACCAGTTTATTTGTTGTTGTTGTTGTTTTTGGTTAGGCAGTTAGGGTTAAGTGACTTGCCCAGGGTCACACAGCTAGTAAGTGTCAAGTCTTTGGTCTAAGGCCAGATTTGAACTCAGGTCCTCCTGACTTCAGGGCCGGTGCTCTATCCACTGCGCCACCTAGCTGCGCCCCCCCCTTAACACCAGTTTAAATCTTTGTGGAGATCTTGTGTACCCAAAACCTATTTGTGGAGTCTGCACGAAAAAAAAGGAAATAAAACAACCCACAGGATCTGTGTAAAGTCTGGAGCATGAAGCCCACTTTGCTCCCAACATCCTCTTTTATTAGGATGAAAAGTTGAGCAATAACAAATGTTAAAAAAAAAAAAGGAGGCAAGATCATTGCTCATATCCTGCCTAAACTATGTCTACCTGCCAGTAACAATAATAAAAAAAAAACCTGGCTTTTACCAGTAATTTCTAGACAATGTAAAACCTCACTATCTCCCTACAATAACGTAGTATCCTCGAGCTTGAAATGAGCTTTGAAATCACATAATCCCCACCCTTTCCTTCTATAGATGGAGGGAAAATATGACCCAAAAAGGAGGGGACTAGCCCAGGGTCACAGATAGTCAAAATCAATGATGAAACTAGAATCAGATTTCCTAGCTGGTGATCAGTGGTCCTGGCAGCACTGATGTTTTCTTCAATACCTTTCCATGGCTCACAAAGTCAAATCTCCTTAGCCTGGTATGCAAGGTTCTCTTTAATTATTCACCAAACTGGAAGGAATATCAACCAATCAGTCAATAAGCATTTATCAAACGCTATTTACCAAACCCTGTGCTAAGTGCTGGGGATCCATAAGATAGTCCTTGCTTTTAAGAATTTACATTCTAATAGAGGAGGCAACATGTATATAAGTACTTATACATGACATATATAGAATAAATACAAGGTAACACTAGCAGTTGGGTAAGCCAAAAAAAATATTCTGTAAAAGATAGCATTTTAGCTGACTCTTAAAGAAATCCTAGGAGGTGTATGCAAGCAGGGAGACTATTCCAGGCATGGGGGCAGCCAGTCTGAAGGCACAGAGACAGGAAATAGAGAATTGGGTATGAGGAACAGCAACTAGAAAGAGAGCAAGGGGCCAGGTTGTTAAGAGCTTTAAAGCCAAATAGTGGAATTTAAATCTGATCTTAGAGGTAATAGAGAGCCACTAGAATTTAATGAGTAGGAGATGACATGGTCAGACCTGTGCTTTAGGAAAATCAATTTGGCAGCTATGTGAAGAATGAGTAGGAATGGGGAGATATTTGAAGTAGGGAGCCAGTTGGAAGCTATTGCATTACTGCAAGTGAGAGGTGATAAGAGACGGAACTAGGATGGTGGCCATATTAATACAGAAAAGGGAATATAGGGGCAGTTAGGTGGCGCAGTGGATAGAGCACCAGCCCTAAAGTCAGGAGGGCCTGAGTTCAAATCTGACCTCAGACACATTACTCACTAGATGTATGACCCTGGGCAAGTCACTTACCCCCAATTGCCTAAAATAATAATAATAATAAAGAAAAGGAGAATATACACGAAAGATGCCGTGGAGGTAAAAGCAACAAGATCTGGCAACTGATTGAGTATATGAAGTGACCTACCTTGTAGAGTGAAGAGTCAAGGATGACTTGCAGCTTGAAGGATTGTGGTATCCTCAGTAAGAACAGAGGAGTTTAAAAGAGGGGTAGGTCTGGAGGAAAAGATAATCAGTTCTATTTTGGACATACTGGGTTTGAAATACCTGTAGGGCATCCAGTCAGAAAGGTCCAATGGGCAGTTGGTGATGTGGAACTGGAGGAGTTATCTGTATAGAGTTAATAATTGAACCCATGGGAGCCAATAAGATCACCAAGGCAGGGAGTGCTGCAGAGAAGTGCTACCCAGGGACTAGTCATTTCATGGTCTAGGGGCAAGGGTAAAGGCGGTGTTGGTACCGCCTTACTGCTCCAGGTCACAGATGCCCTACATTAGGATCCACCTCTATCTCTAGAAAACTACACAGATTTCATGTGAATCCAAATTTATTTCAACAACTAACCCTGTCTATCTGTCACTGAAAAAGAGATGAGTCCCTGGCCTCAAGGAACTGACAGTCTAGAAGAGAGATAAGGACCTAAAAAGCTCCAATACAAGGAAGTGTATGAAAGTGATATATGATGCATACATCAGGTTAGGGGAATTGGGGAAGGCTTCCTGGATGAGGTGGCTTTTGTCATGGGCCTTGATGGGCAAATGAACAAATGAATGAATGAAAAAAGAAATAACTCGTATTTCTTCTTTATGTTAAAGTTTACAAAGCACTGTCATACACAGCATCTCAGAGTTGGAAGGGACTATCAGAAGCTATCTAGTCCATAATTAATGAAGTGATCATGCAGATATTATTATTCACATTTTATCCATCAGGAAGTTGAGATTCAGGTTACTGACTTTCAAGTCAGGAACATGAAATTCTACGTTCGGTGTTGTAAGGTCCCCCCCTGCTGTGGCATTCTGTGTTCTATGACTTATGGTCCCTTTCAGCCTTGATATTGTATGTTGTATGTTCTAAGACTGTCCTCCTCTGGTATTCTGTGCTCCGTATTCTAAATTCCTGTGCCCCTCTAATATCCTCTAGTCATTACTTTATGTTTCCATACAGCTCTGGCATTCTATGATTCTAATTTCACTGGGGATATTTTCAACATCTCCACTACTCTGCAGTCAAATATCTGATCCCTCCCACTCTGACTGTGACTCATATATACATGGTGCCTGCCTCTGTGAGTGTGTGTGTGCGATAGAGAAGGGAGAGAGAGAGAGAGAGAGAGAGAGAGAGAGAGAGAGAGAGAGAGAGAGAGAGAGAGAGAGAGAGAGAGAGAGAGAAAGGGAGAGAGAGAGGGAAAGGGGGAGAGAGAGAGAGAGAAAGAAGGGGGGAGAGAAAGAGAGAGAAAGAAGGGGAGAGGGGGAGAGAGAGAGAGAGAGAGAGAAGAGAGAGAGAGAGAGAGAGGAGAGAGAGAGAGGCGAGAAGAGAAGGGGGAGGAAACAGAGGGAGGGAGTAAAACCTCTGTCACTCACTATAACCACTGTCATCCTATTGGGGTCTGGGAGAGCTCCAAATCGTTAAATCGAGGGCTGCAGGAAGTTGAGCCAGGGAGCAAGACCACGAGAGGCACTGAGAATCAGGGGCTCTCCTATCCTGTCAGCCAATCCTCCAGCTGCTGACTGCATCAGGTACAGTAGTGCACACTTTATTATCTTTATATCCCCTCCCCAACTTGTATATTCTTTGGCGCTGAGCAGGAAGTGGGTGCAATATAGGCAAAGGGATGAAACCTAGATGGGGTGAGTTGTAGAAATCAGTGGCCACACGAGGAGGTGCTGAGGAAGAGTCTGAATGCCTTATCTCTCTGCAATGGTTTGGGAGGGCTGGAGTTCTTTAAGGCTGGAAAAGAGGCTGAAATGTGACAAAGTTACCTGAAGGCTGAAGGAGATTGGGGGTCGATCTAGAGGTAGATTTGGAAAGTAACAGAAATCATCTGAGTGGGCTTATCACAGCATTTCGTTAGTCACATTTCTTCTGAACTGCTGCCACATCATCCCTAGTCGGGAAATCTTTTTCCTACCCATGCAGTTTTATCGTAGCTTATTGTGGCACAGTTTCTCAAGGTGGATCAATGTCTGGGCCTTAGGAATGTCTCTGCTCTGCATGCCCACAGTATGGCCAGGTCCTTGGCAGAAAGCAGCAACAAGAATCCTGAGTCCCCTTAGATTCAGTCTCTTTATCTCAGAACCATTCATTTGGCTTTAGCAAGCCAAGCATTCAGGTGTGTGTGTTCATTCAGGTATACGCCTTTTGGGGTTGGGAAGCACAACTTCCCCCAAGGTGCCTACTGAATGTATGAAACTCAATGACTCCTACTCTCCCATGAGACTATGTGTGCCAAAACCTGGAGACTGCTGTGTACCTGGGTGTAAGGGCTGTGTGTGTAGAAGCTGTATATACAGAGGGCAATAGGCAATATCTTCATGACATGGAGCCCCTCAGACCTAGTCTGTGTAATTATGCATAGTACTTTAAAATCAGGGAAGACTGGAATGTTAGGTTTATGAAACTTTGGGACCTTAGATCCTCAGATTCTTAGAATTTGAGACTTTTCAAATTTTGAAATCATGTAATTATAATGTATTTATATTTATGTAATTATAATCTTATAATTATGAAGTTTGGGGAACTTTATAAAGATTTAGTCTCTTGGAATATTAGAAACTTGGAATCATGGACTCAGGGGATTTTAGAATTATGGAATCTCAGAATCATGAAGTCTTAGAAGCCTCCAATCATGAGAGATCTTAAATCTCTAAGAGGATGTGGAAGAGGAGGTATTGGCTTCAGACAGAGGCTAAACTAAATCTCTAAGCTTCCTTCTAGCTCTGAGATTCTAAGCCCCTGCCCAAAGCAGGAATCTGACCTTTGGTTGTGTTTTTTTTCCTTTTCCCTGAATTTTAATTTAAGGGATCTCAGAAGTTAACCCCCAAGAGGGTCCCAGAAAACTCCTTACCTGTCTGTCTACTTTGGAATTATGCCATTCTTATATTTCTAGAAAACAGATTTGGATGAAGGTGAGAAAGGACAGAGGACCACACATGTGTGAAGGGCAACCCACCTTCATTAATCTTTCCTCAAATCAAGAAATGCAAACTATTAGAGCTAAAAGGTACCTTAAAGATAATCTACTTTAACTCTCTCACTATACAAATGAGGGAACAAGGTTACAGAATACATTAGTGAAGAAGTTGGGACATAGAAACAGGTCTCTTGGCTTCCACTCTCAGTGTCTTCTACCCCACTATAAATCTGAAATCACCTAGCCAAGCTAGGCTCACACACCAAGCAACTTGGAGTTGGGGCATCTGGGTTCTAGTGCTAATCTTTGTCACTAATTTGCTATGTGTCCTTTGACAAGCCACTTTCCCTCTTTGGGTCTCAGTTTCCTCACTTGCAAAATAGTCCCTCCCAGCTCTGATCTAGTCTCAATGTTTCAGCTCCAGATTCTTCCAGCTCTAACATTCTATTACTCTGTGATACACACGGGCTCCAACCATTTACTACAATCTGACTGGGAAGGGGCCTCTGTACTCTGAGTTCATCTTTAAAATGTTAACAATAGCCACTCCTGGCAGAGGTAGCTAAAAAGGCAAAGAGGTCGGAACCACTGCTTGAAATGCCTTTTGAAAGTCTAAGTGAAATATAATTGCCACTTAAAACACACGACACGTTTCAGGGAGGGTGGACCATACAGGGTATATGGGATCAGTGCAGTATGTGAGGTTTCCTGGGATACTAAGGATGGTAGAGAGCTAGCTAAGGAGAAAAGAGTTACAGGGAAGCAAGGAGCCCTTTAAGATGGACCTACTTGGTCAACCTAGCTCATTGAGAACCTTGGGAAGTATCTTCCTTCAAGTCCTCCTGACCTCTTCTTGTCCACTTGAATGCTGACCATGTCCCATCTTCTAAGGTGCTCCTGGCTGCTCTTAGTTAATAGGAGTCACAAAATATTAAAGCTGTTGGAGACTGAGGGCCAGAGAGAGAAAGTAATTTTCCCAAAGTCATGCAGTTAGTAGTAGGTAACAGAGCTGAGGGTCAAACCCAGGTGTTTTGGCTCCTAAGATTATGCCACATTGCCCACGCTGGGACCAGGACAGCCAGTAAGGTTCAGGTTGATGGTTATCTGGCACTGAACCTCCAGACAGTCTGCAGAATGTTTGTGAGGAGGGAAGAGGAGGACCAGCTGCTTCCCATCCCCACTGAGGCATGTACAAGAGGAAACAGGATTTATCTACTTATACAAGAATCCAGTTCTGTTAAAGGAGGAAATTCCTGTCAGTGGAAAAGTAGGGTGATCCAAGGAGGTTGGGGACGAGCCTATTAAAACACAGCAGGCCTAGAAAGCTTAGAAAACATGGAATGTCAGAGTCAGAAGAGGACAGAGCATGGAACATAGAATGTCAGAGATTAAAGAGATTTTAGAGCACACACTGTAGCATGTCACTATTGACATTCTAAAACCTTAGAGACTGTCTAATCCAACCCCCCTCATTATACAGATAAAGAAACAGGGGAAAAGTTGCTTGCCCAAAGGGACAGGGGTATACCCAGGACTCAGATCTCTGTCTCCTTGACTTTCACTTCAATGCTCCTTGTACTACGTCTAAGACCTTCCTTGAAGGGAGACAATAATCATGTTTCCCTCCCCCAAGACTTCTCTCCTCCAGTCTAAATATTCCAGGTTCCTTCAACAGGCCTTTGCATGGCATGGTCTCTAATCCCCACCTAGCCTTGGTCAGAGTAGTAGCAAGGTATAACGGACAGGACCTCAGGCCTAATGTCAGAAAGATCTTGGTTCAACTCCCAACTCAGACAGTTAGCTAACTGTATGAACCTGGGCCAGTCATTTAACTGCCCTGTGCCTCAGTGTCCTCATCTGTAAAGTGAACTAGAAGTCCCTTCTAGCTCTAAATCAATGATCCCATAGTCCTATGACCCCTTCTTGAGACTTACTGCAGCTTACCAACATCCTCCCTAAAATGTGACACACACCACCACCATCCCCACCACCACCACCCCCAGAACTGGCTGAAACTATAGGTTTCCAAAGCTCCAGGAAAACCAAGTTGAAAAAAAAGAAGTTCAGCAGGGAGGCTTCAGGCTAGAACAAAGAAATGGAGAACAGGGTTTCTAAAGAAAGGTTAAGAGGCAGCCAAGACCAGACAGTTTAAAGGTTGTGCTCTCTTCAGCTAACAGTCATGGGACAAACTTGGATATGGATGAGACACACCTGCAGCTGGGTAGGCCAGAAACCCAGTATTAGAGCAGGGAGGAAAGTCTGCTTGTACCCGAGGTAACCAGAGTTGGCACAACCCACATAGCTTCAGGTAAATGTTTTCAGACTTTGAGATTCAAAGGTCAGAACCAAGAGAGTCCAGGGCAGCCATAAAAGATTGATGGTCTGGGGTCTGCCCTGCTTCTCTATCCCAAGGGGAGCTAGTGGCCATCCAGATATCACCCTAGATGTTATAGCTCCCACGAGAACCTGGTGTCTCCTGCTGCCTCTGATGCCTACAACAGGGATTGGACTTATTCTTTTTAGCCTCAAAGTGAAGAAGTAGGTGTAATGAGTAGGAAGCTGAAGGCAGACACATTTCAACTTGACATAAGAAAAAGCTTCCTAATAGTTAGAATTATTCAAAAGTAGAATAGGCTGCCTGTAGACATCATCATCACCACCATCATAATATGAATAAAAATAATAAATAACATTTATATATCACTTTACAGTTTGCAAAGTATTTTACATGTGTTGTCTTGTTTGATTAATACAATAATCCTAGAAGATAGGTGTTATCATCACCTCCATTTTATAAATGAAGAAACTAAGGCAGACTGGGGTTAAATGAATTGCCTAGGGTCACACAGCTAGTAAGAAAGGGAGGCTGGATTTGAAGTCAGGTCTTCCTGACTTCAGATCTAGCACTCCATCCACTGAGTCACCTAGATACAGTGAGTTCCCCATCACTGGAGGTATTTGAGTTCAAGTTTGTTGTAGAAGGCATTCTTGCTCGGGTACAGTATGGACTAGATGTCTTAATTCAATTCTAATTCAATTCTAGCATTTTATGATTGACTGACTTTTGGCAACTTACATCTCCCTGAGAGGGCTGGAAAACTTGGTGAAGTGGAGAGAGCTGGGGACTTGTCATCAGGAAGGGAAAGTTCTAATCCCAGCCCATTACCCACTGGTACTATAGGCAGTACCTGGAGTCAGGAAGACCTGAGTTCAAATCCAGTATCAGATACTTACTCAGTAGGCAAGTCAGTTAACCCTTGCCTACTTCAATTTCCCCATTTGTAAAATGGAGGTATTAATAGCACCTAACTCCCAGGATAGTTGTGATGATCAAATAAGACAAGAGAGAGAAGGGAAAGGACTAGCCAAAGCTCTAGATAAGTGTCTTCTACCTTCGTGCCTTACTTCCCTTGGGAAGGAAGAGGAAGGCAAAGGAGACTTGTGCCTCTGTCTGGGCCTTACTTTCCTCCTCTAGAGATCATTATCCTCATACTACCTGCTGCTTGTGCTTATTAAACTGAGGAAAATACTTTGTAAACTTCGAAGTGCAAGAGAAAACAGAAACCAACCTTACTATACTTTAAAGGCCCCAAGCACTGGGATGTC